GGCCTCGGGGCTGGGAAGCTGCCTGTGAACTGCCGCCCTGAACTCAGGGGGAGCAGGTGGCCAGGCTCAGAGAGACCGTGCTGGGGCTGCTGGGGGCAATGCTGACAGCCGAGGGCAGATCCCCAAAGTTCTTGACTCTCCTGTCGGCCGACAGAGGGGTTCAGCCAAGTGGGCTAACCTGGTAAGTGAGGTACAATAGACTATTTCCTTTGAGTGAAATTTTAGGGATGCTGACCCCCAACACTGAAAGCTGTTATCAGTCCATTACACCTTGCTGTAAAGGAAGGATCTGAAAGCCTGTCTTGACAGGGAGGCTGGAGAGGGAAAGAAAGATGCAGCCTGCGTACTTGAGGTGGGGGACCGTCAGGGGCGGGGACAGAGTCAGGAGGGCAGAGAGGATGAGTGGGAGTCCTGACAAACTTTGCCAAGGGCAATTTTTCTGAGTTCTAGCAACTAATCCTGACACCAGCCAGCCTGTCCAGTTATTGGCAAAAATGTTTCATACGTTAGGTCTGATTACAGCATCAGCCAGATGATTTAAATTACTGCATTAGACAGCTAACTCCGTGGCCGCTGGCCTCTAACACGTAAAGGAGCTTGGCTAATCTTAACAATAGCAGGTTACAGGGCCTCGTCAGCAGCTGCCTGCCACAGAGGGTGAGTGATGCTGTTCTCAAGATGCCAAGGAGGGGCCGGCCCCGTGGCCGAGTGGTTGAGTTCGCGCACTCCACTTTGGCGGCCCATAGTTTCTGTGGTTTGGAACCTGGGCACGGACATGGCACCGCTCATCAGGCCATGTTGAGGCGACGTCCCACGTAGCACAACCAGAGGCACTCACAACTAGGATATACAACTATGTATATATGGGGGGCTTTGGGGAGAAGAGAAGGAAAAAAAAAAGGAAGATTGGCAACAGTTGTTAGCTCAGGTGCCCATCTTACGAAAAAAAAGATCCCGAGGGGGCCCAGGGAGTTGAGGAGGATGGAAGTGCTCATTCTTATTATAAAATCCCACGAGAACAGCAGTCTGTTTAAAGGACAGTATGGGGGCCATTCTTCTTCTGAAGAACTTGCCTTACCGTCTCAGGCTGCATATTTCCTGGTCGTAATAGTTTGGAGAAAAATATTGCTAAATGGCTGCATAAACAATTTTAATTGGCCCAGCCTCCCAAAATGTGCTATTTTTGTTCTGCTGCCAAGCTTGCTTTTTTACTAGCTAATTATGCCCAGCATTTAACTTTCAGCGAAAAAACAGGAAATAGGACATTCATTACTCGAGTGACAACTTTTCAACAAGCCCACATTTCAGCATCCATTGTGTAATTTCCTCTCCCTAGCTTACGGGTTCGTTGTTCACCAGGCCTTTGGAAACAAACAGCTCCTTCAGTGGGGGCTGGGAGGGGCTGTGTTAGCTTCAGTGCTTGCCTATCTCCAAGGCGGGCAGAGGGAGGGGCTCCCAGGAGCCAGCAGGCCCATGGGGTGGGTCTCCCACCTTGTTGGGCTCCTCACAGAAATTCTCCAGCTGGGGTTTCTGCTAGTCTGAGGTTGCTCCCAGATGAGGCTCTGCCATCAGGAGCTGGGCCATGCCTATTGTTTATGCCTCATCCCAAGGCTCCTGGGGATTCTGGCCACTCTCAGAGGGACAGCCTCTTGTCCCCTGAGGAATCACAGAAGACAGTCAACCTCAGTGTGTTAGGCAGTAACTCCTAGAAAGTGCTGTAAAGCCATGTCTTGTTTTATGAGCTATTTTAAATTTATTTTATTAAAACATTTTATTGCAACGGATATCACATATGCATGAAAAGTACACAAGTTATTAAGTATACAGCTCGATGAGCTACCATAAAGCCGGTACCATGAGACTACCGTCCAGGTCCAGAGTAGATCATTGTCAGCACCCAGGAGCCTCCTTCATATGCCTTTGCACTCACTGCTCCCTCCGTCTTCCCCACAGGGAACTATCCTGACTTGTAAAACTGTAGTTCAGTTTTATGTGTGTAAACTTTATATAAATGGAACTATATATGTGTGTGTATATGAGTGGGGCCATGTGTGTATATTTTTATATCTGGCTGCTTTTTTTCTGCTTTGTTTTGTTGCTTGTAGCTGTACCTCCTTCATTTTCATCACTCTGGAGTATTCCACGGTATAAATATATCACAAGTTGTCAATTTTACTCTAAATGGACATTTAGGTTATTTCCAGTCTGTGGCTATTCTGAAAAATGCTGCCGTGACCATTCCTGTGTGTGTCTTTTAGTGCATATGCACACCCGTTTCTGTTGAGTGTCAACTACAAGTGAACTGTTGGATCATACACATAGTTGGTGTGCATATTTGATTTTTATAGCTTCAGCTAAACCGTTTTCAAAGTGGCGTGTGTAAGTTGCCCCTGCACCGCTTCCTCATCAACGCTTGGAGTTGTCACTCTTCTTATTTTGGCAGATGTGTAGTGGCATCTCAGTGTAGTTTTGATTTGCTTGTCCTTGCCTATTATTGGGATTGAGCACTTTTTCGTATGTTTATTCATGAATGGATTTAGAGTAAGACAGAAGTGGAAGAACCAAACGGTCAAAATGTGGAAAATGATACTTTAATGGGAGAGGAGGCTGCCAAAACTTCTCCCTCCTTCAGCTCTGATTCGATCAACAAGGAATTGTTGACCCCCGTGGTGGACCTGCGGCTGTGCTGGGTGATGTGGGCGTGTCAAAAGGAGCTCATGCCCCTTTCCACTCAGGCAGTGTTTGCTTCCCTCCAAATACACTTCACAACTATGGTACTTTGCAGGCAAATTGGAGAGCACATGGGGACATATAACGAGTGAATTAATTAGTATGAGATATGAGCATGGATTCTTCCTATTTCTTTTTTCCTTTTCTTAGTCTGGCCTCCACCTTTACCAAAACTTAGTGGGCTTCCTGAGGGTGAGCTAAATGAAATGAGAGTGACACTGGTGTCAGGCTGTATCCAGGTGGCCCTCTCCTGCTTTGGCTCCTTATTATGAGACTAATAACAATAATGATTATTATTATTTATTGAGCGCTTATTAAATGACAAGCACTGTGTTAGACACTTTATAATAGGTGTTACCATTTAATCTTCATAACTTTAAGATATGGATGCTATTATTGTGCCCATTTTTGAGATGAGGAAACTGAGGCTTAGAAATGTTAAGTACCTTGCCCAAGGTCATACAGTAAGTGGTAGAGTAGGAGTTAGAATCCAGCAGTCTGACCCTATAGTCCCAATTCTCAACCATTATACCAATAGTTCTCAACCAGTGTACTTTGGTGCGCTGGTGTGCTACAGTCCTTTCCTAGCCACGTTGCTGAATTTTATGCATAAAATGTTTTTGCTGCTGAGTAGCAAACGCTATAGATAGACTCGTTTCAGAAACGGCTCTAATTCCTCACCTCTCTCTGTATCCCTGCCTTTTGCAATTTGCCTTTTCCAGCTCCTTCCATTGAGGAGTGAAGGTTGTTCCCTGGCCCTTGGGCAGGAGTTGATCTCGTGACTTTTTTGGCCAGTAGAATGTGGTGGAGGTGATGACATGCTGGCGCAAGCCTGGGCCTCGCTTGCTTTCACTCTGCCTCTTGCTCCTCTGCCCTTCAACACAGGAACAAGCCTGGGCTCATTTGAAGGGGGATGAGACCTGGGGAGCAAAGCCAGTCAAGGCCCTAGATATGGGAGCGCCCACCCCAGCCTGGGTCAGCCAGGCCTCCTAAGCCAACCGGCAGTTGAGTGTAGATGCTTGAACAATCCCGCAAAGCCCAGGTGAAGCGCCGTAGACTCATGAACAGAATGTTGAGTGCCATGTGCCACTGAAGTTTTGTGGTTGCTCTGCAGCACGATTGTGGTGAGAGATAATACGTACTATGATGGCTACGTCAAATGGGTGGAATACTAGCCAGTAGGTCATGAAATGCTGGATACACTCAGCTACAGCTTGGCCTCAGCACAGAAAAATGTCAAGCTGCTGCCTAAGAAGGTCTCTATTTACTGAAGCATGTGAGAACGATGCTCCAGGAGTATATGAGGTAGAGGGTCAGGGTAGCACTGTTTCACTCTAACAGCTGCAGTGCACTACTGGGCCACCCAGGGAGAGTGCGGTGCCATCACCCTCTACTGAATAAAGCTTAAGGGGACTGAGAGAAGTCAAGTTGCATTTTATTTTTTAAAGATTGGCACCTGAGTGAACAACTGTTGCCAATCTTTTTTGTTTATTTTGGTTTTGGTTTTTCCCCTGCTCTTTTTCTCCCCAAATCCCCCCAGTACATAGTTGTATATTTTAGTTGTGGGTCCTTCTAGTTGTGCTATGTGGGACGCTGCCTCAACATGGCCTGATGAGCGGTGCCATGTCCTGCCCCGGATCCAAATGGGTGAAACGCTGGGCCAACAAAGCAGAGCAAGGGAACTTAACCACTTGGCCACGGAGCCGGCCGCTCAAGTTGCATTTTGATCACAAGCTACATGTCACATTGTTCATGTGCTGGTTACACTAGCTGAGTTGGATTTCTGTCCTTTGCCACCCCAAGAGTCCAGGTTTCAGCGATGGGAGCATTTGAAAGACCACAATGCTTCCGCTCCCATCTGATGCTCGTGCTCCTTCTGCCCCTGACGCGTGGCTGAGAAAGCAAGCTGTGATCTTTGCACATTCAAAGGGCAGGGTGGTTCTTCCCTAGGTCAGCCTCCTCATCTCACAGAGAGGGCCTCCTCCAGAGGCGACCCAGGCGTTGGCCAAAGGAGACAATGATTCTCTGCAACAAACCTCTGCCAACACCTGTCCCTGCCCCAGGGCCCCCAGCCTCCCCTTTCTTCAGATTGGTGCTGGCATTCCATGGTCCCCTTTGTGTACACCAGCTAAACAATGCTCCATCCTCTTGGCCTTCCCTCTGATTCCTTTCTACACTTCTGTTTCAGTGATTTATTGTCATGTAACAAACTGTCCCAAACTCAGTGACATAAACCCCCACCCTTCTTTCTCTGTTCATGTATTCTGCAGGTCAGGACTTTAGAGAAGCCATGGTGGGGTGGCTTGTCATTGCTTCTGGATGTCTGGGATCTGGGAAGACTTGAATGGTAGGAGCTGGAGTCATCTGGAGTCTTCTTGTTTCACATCCCTGGTACGTGGGCTGGGTTGGGCTCAGCAGGGGCTGGTGACATCAGCATGTAGCCTGTCCACAGGATGATGGCTCCACGGTAGTGAGACTTTCTATGTGGTAGCTCAGTGCTCCCCAAGTGAGGAAAGCCACCTGGCTGTGATGAGCTGTCCTTGGAACGTGTATGGACCTTCCCATCTCTTACACTCTATTGGTTATGACAGTCACAAGTCTGCCCAGAGTCAAGCGGAGGGGACACAGACCTCATTTTTTGAAGGGACAGTTGTCCCATACAAAGAATTTGCAGCCATGTTTTAAAACTACCATACCTTAAATTTATCTATTCATTGTGCCAGTTACTAAGATCTTTTATTTTGTGTAAGAATCTTTTGTTTGCAAGGAACAAAAAAACGATTCAAGCTAGCTTAGAAAAAAAGGTCATGGATAATTTATTACAAGGATGCAGAACCCCCAGGATGTCACTATAGTCCTCTTGTGTGCTCAGTGCCAGGGGGTGCTAAGGGGTTAATGAGGCAAACATCCCCACTGAGGCATCTCCCCCCTTGGGCAGTGGTGCCTTCGTTATCCCTGAAGGCCCTCAGGGAGTGCCAGAGAGATCGGAGCCCTGAGGCAGACCTGTCACACGCAACAGAGAGGAAGCCCAAAGGATGGGGCTGGTTGTGTCTCCCCAGGCCGGAGCTGGAGCTTGAGGGTCTAGGGAGCGCTGCTTAGAGGGGCTCTTGTCCATCTCTAAACACATAGGTACTTATTCTAGAGAGCCACCTTCTCAGACCAGCCAGCCCCGGGGGTCTAGATTAAGATTCGGTTCTCTCACCGCCGTGTCCAGGGGTTCATTTCCCAGTCAGGGAGCCACACCACCGATCTGTCGGTTGTCACACTGTGTTGGCTGCATGTTGCTGTGTTGCTGAAAGCTGTGCCACTGGGATTTCAGATACCAGCAGGGTCACCCATGGAGGACAGGTTTCAGCGGAGCTTCCAGACTAAGACACACTAGGAGGAAGGACCTGGCCACCCACTTTCAAAAAAACTGGCCATGAAAACCCTGTGAAGAGCAGTGGAGCCTTGTGTGATAGAGCGCCAGAAGCTGAGAGGAGGGCGCAGAGCACCACGCGGAGTTCTGCTCTGCTGCACACAGGGTCACTAGGAATCAGAATCCACTCCACAGCGCTAACAACAACATCTTAGATCTTTCTCCCCTTCTCTGACCATCAGGCTGACTCTGGTTATCCCCAGCCCAGCAGATTCAGTCGTTTGTTAATTCAGCACATATTTATGGAGTCTCTTGGGTGTGCCTGGTGCTGTGGCCGTAAACCAGACATCCAGAAGCCTGAGATGAAAAAACGCTCTGAGTAGGGCCCAGGAGCCCTGACTCTGCCAGTTACTCTCTAAATAAACTCGGACATGGACTCAATCTTCCCTGGGCCTCTGTCTCCCCATCAGTCAAATCAGGGCCTTGACCTTGAAGATTGCTAAGGTCCCTTCAGAGCCCCCAGAAGAAAGATGGGCCTGGCACACCAGGCACTCCTGAAATTTCCATCCTCAACCTCAGGTTTACTTTCTGTCTTTTGCCTTTACTGCTGGCTGGCTTACTCTTGCTGTGATTTATTTAACTGAGCCGTGCTGAGCAGTTTGGAACTGGGTTTGCATGAATCACCGTCCATAAAATCAAGTTAAGTGGATTTCATTCCACACAGCACACCTGTGTATATACTTGAGGAGATGCAGCTGGAGTTTCTTGGCTGTTCCAGACCACTGTTAGAATTGCTTCCTTACAGAGGGAGAAGTCACCCTGTATTTATAGTCCATTGTTACAGTAGCCTCCTCAGAGACCTGAAACAAAGTGCTGGATGCAGCTTCTCCTTCAGATCATTTTACATAGCCGCCCTGTTTCTCTCTCTAGCTGGAAAAGCTGACATTGATTTCCTCTATTTTATCAGAGTTGGCAAGCATCGGATTCAACTTCACCCAGTCATTCAACAAACATTTATCGAATGTTATGTGAAGTCATAGGGAGCTAGGTATAGGAGTGGGGGTTAAGGGGAAGTGTCACTCTGCTCAAAGACCCTACATGCTATGAAGTGTTAAGTGACAACACAAGAGAAGGTTGCCAGGCAGAAAATGGGAAATTCCATGTGTTGGGTGGAAGAAGAAACCAGTGAGGGTGAGTGATCCAGGAGGATTCCAGAGCGTCTGGGGAGGCTGCTGAGCATGTGAGGGGGATTTCTGTTTGGACCACTGCCCACAGTGCCCTCATCCTCATTCCCATCTGACATAACCTGCACCAGAATCATTTCAGTCCACCATTTTGTAAAAGGATGTAATAAAAAAAAGAGGTTTGAGTGGAGATGAGCATTTATAGGAAGAAATGCCCAAAGGGTCTGCTCCGTGTTTGTTAAAATACTTTTTTGGAGCCAGTGTGAGGGATTATAAAGGGATTTATTTCATTTTGCAACACAGCCAAAAGCACAGGCAGACTGTGACTAAAATGGCGATGCAAGGAACTGGCTATTTGGGTCTTTGTTCTTATTTTCTATCTTTACAGAAAATGTGCAGTTTTTACTCTGCCACAGAATAAACATTTCACAATTTTCCTGGCCAAGTTCAAGTGATTTTGAAAATTATCCCATCTCCCCTCTGGGACTCTGGGAGACATGTTGGGATGTTGGGGAAGGCCTGGGGGTTCTTCCTCCCCCACTGACTACGCCGACAGCCACACAACCCTTGGGAGAAAACGGAGTGCTTACAAAGACTAAGCTTTGGATGCACCCGTCTCCAGGCTGCAAGCAACATTTGCCTTGCTTAACAGATTCTGTCTGTTGTGCTGTCTTGGGACAAGACGCACCCACATTTCCTGGCAACCATTTGGGAAGCTTAATTCCCAGACGGTGCCTTGGGCTGGGTAGCCTCTGCCGAGAGACCCTGGACAGCGCCACCTCTGCCCCAGAGGACTAATGCAACGCTCCAGAGCAGAGCTGTCCAAGGGAAGTATAATGCAAGCCACGTGTGTAATTTTACAATTTCTAGCAGCCACACAAAAAAGTAAAAAGAAACAGGTGAATTTAATTTTAATAATATATTTATTTGACCCAATATACCTAAAATATTAACATGTAATTAATATAAAATGATTATGAGGTATTTTACATTCATACTAAATCTTCAAAGCCTGTGGTGTATGTTATACTTTAGCACATCTCAACTCAGACTAGACACATTTCAAGCGCTCAACAGCTGTGTGTGGCTAGTTGTTGGATATGCTGGACAGCACAGTCTAGAGTTCTCTACCAGTTAATCCACAGACCCCTCTTGGAGCCCAGGAGGGTCTTTTCTCCTAATCTTTGTAGGCAATGGCGAGCCCAGCCTTTTGGCCTGGACTAGGAATAATGCACTACTTAGCTTTCCAACTGTATAATTGGCCCTGTCGTGCCCAGAGATGGAGGCTGGTAAATTTCAGGGGCCTCCGGTTATGGTTCCCATCGGCCCCTCCCCTGCTTACGGGCCATACTCATACCTAATCTGTCTCGTGCTCTGGCCCTTCCTGTACTCTGCCCTTTTAGAACTGACTTTTACTGGATCCCTCTTCCCTCAGGGCCCTACTCAGGGCTTGGGGGATAATGGTAATAAGGGCTAGTGGCCAAAATAAACTGGGGTACTCTTCATGGGTACCGGTGTGCACCAAGCCACTTCAACATTACAACCCTCCTGCAGCTAATAAGTGGCAATGGGACAGGATGGCAGAGCATTGGAACTGGAAAGAATTTAGAGATCTCCCAGTGTGATTTTTTTTAAAATTGAGGTAAAATTCACATACCATAAAATTAACCATTGTAAGTGTATGATTCAGAGGCGTTTAGTACATTCACAGTGCTGTGCAACCATCTCCTCTGTCTAGTTCCAAAACGTTCTCATCACTCCAAAGGAAACCCCGTCCCCACTTAGCAGTCACTCCCCATTGCCCCCTCCCCTACCTCCTGGTAACCACCCATCTGCTTTCCATCTCTGGATTTGCCTATTCTGGCTGTTCCATAGAAATGGATCACACAGTATGTGACCTTTTGTGTCAGGTTTCTTTCACTGAGCACACCGTTTTTGATGTTCATCCACGCTGTAGCATGTATCACTCCTTCATTTCTTTCTATTGCTGAGTAATATTCCATTGTATATGTACACCACATTTTATTTACCTGTTCATCTGTTGATGGACATTCAGGTTGTTCTGCCTTTGGGCTGTTGTGAATTGTGATGCTATGAACATTGCCGTACAAGTTTCTGTTTGAATATTTGTTTTCAGTTCTTGTATGTATATGCCTAGGAGTAGAATTTCTGGGTCATATGGTAATTCTATGTTTAACTTTTTGAAGAATGGTGGATCTATTTGCCAAAGTGGCTGAACCATTTTACACTTCCACCAGCAAAGTACGAGGGTTCCAAACTATTTTTCCATATCCTTGCCCACTCTTGTTATTTTCCATCATTTGCTTTGTTTTGTTTTTTTAAATTGTAGCCACCTAGTGGGTGTGAAGTAGTATCTCATTGTGGTTTTTTTTTTTAATGTCTTTTAAACTAATAAACTTCATTGTTTAGAGTGGTTTTAGGTTCATAGCAAAATTCAGGGGAAAGTCCAGAGAGTTCCCATTTACCCCCGTGCCCATAGAGGTACAACCTTGCCCACTGTCAACATCCCCCCCACAGTGGTACATTTCTTACATTCGACGAACGGACACTGACTCATCCTTAGCATCCTGGGCCCATAGTCTCCATTAGGGTTCACTCTTCATGTTGTATATTTTATGGGTTTTGACAAATGTGCAACGACATGTACCCATCATTGTAGTTTCATGCAGAACAGTTTAACTGCCCTAACAATGCTCTGTGTTCTGCCTTACTGTGGTTTTTACTTGCATTTCCCTAATGACTAATGGTGCCAGAGGTTTTAAACAGCGCTTTGAGAAGCTCCCTGAGGGCCGCCGTGGGGAGGAAGAGAAGGCCTGCAGGCAGCGATA